ATACTCATGTCCTTAAAGATATTTGCATACCAATGTTCATAGCAGCATTATTCAGTGGCCAGGACATGGAAGCAACTGAAGTGTCCTACACTAGATGATTGGCTAAAGAAGCTGGTGGTACATATATACAATAGAATATTACTCAGCCATAAGAAGAGATGAGATACTGCCATTTGTGATAACATGGATGGACCTTGAGATAATCATGCTAAGCGAAATAAGCCAGACATAAAAAGTTGAAAATCACATGATATCACTTATATGTGGGATATAAACCTAAAAGCAACAAATGAACAGGACAAGCAGAGACTCAGGGACATGGACAATGGACTAGTGGTTACCAGAGGGGAGGTGGTGGGGGAGGAGGGAAGAGGTAGACAGGGTAAAGGGGGTCAAATATAGGGAGCTTGGGAGAGGGTGAAGTGGGGATCAAATATATGGTAGCTGAAGGAAACTGGACTCTCGGTGACAATCACACAATAGAATATATAGATGTCAAATTATAATGTACACCTGAAAATTATATAATTGTATTAACCAATGTTACCCCAATAAACTTAAAAAAGCAACAAAGGAACAGAACAAACAAACAGAGACTCATGGACATGGACAATGGACTAGTGGTTACCTGAGGGTAGGGGAGAGGGGAGAGGTAGGAGGTAGACGGAAAAAAAAATTTAAATAATTTTTTCAATTAAAAAAATAAATTAAAATAAATAAATAAATAAACTAATAAGACTTACTATTTTTATATGTATTATTTATGATCAGGAGAATATTCTAAGTTCTTGTATATTATTTACCATCATCCTCCCAAAAAACTTATGCCATAGGTGTTAGTATTTTCTCCATATTCAGTGATGTAACCAGAGTTTTGGCAGATTAATCAATATATTGAAAGTCATAGATTCAGGAAGTTGTAAATCCCAGCTCAATCTGACACAAAGGACATGTTATTATCATTTCTGGAGTGCACGTAAAGACAGTCTTTCTTATTAGACCAGCACGTATTTTTTTTAGGTTGAAGTTAGAAAAACCATGGAATTCAGATATTGAGCTTATCTTTTCTACTTCTATACCCTAATGAGATATCATGCGTGGTATCAACTTTCATATAACTTTGGATAAAATTCTCCTGGTAATTAACATTCAGTGATCTAGCATAATGAAAATTTGTCTTGTTTAATAAAGATTTTTTTCTGAGTCTTCCACTAAAAAAGTGTGTGTATTAGTCTTCTTTGTTCAAACTTGTAATGCATCAGTTACAATGAAAAATTTGCTTTAGGCTCTTATACTAGGAGTTAGTTTTGAAAAGTTAAAGGTAGTATTTTTGAAAATAAAAAAGTATAATTTTAAAACACTAAAACTATTTGCCATTTTAACGAATTTGGAGAAAAATGTTTCAGAAAAAAATTAACTATATAACTCTTTCAAAATTGAGTTTTCATCTATGTTTTTAAGCAGAATACATTCCTAAGGTTATGTTTACTTCCCAGTGCACCAACCAAAACTCTCCTCCTTTCTGTCCAATTCAATAGAGAATATTGAAAATAGAAGGTGGCATTATTAGGTGGATAGCTCCTCAAATTTGTTTAAGTTAATATTTTGTTAATGCATTATTTTTATCATTAATAAAACGTTTTGACAGAAATCATAACAAGAGCCACAATACACAGGATTTGCTTCAATAAAAGTAAAGCTGTATTTCAGCACTGAATGCCATATTTCTGTATTGTCATTTTTTAAAATTAAGTTTAGATTCCATGTTTCCTATAACTCAGACAGTATTTTTAGGGAGCAAAAACTTACTACAGGATAAAAAAAGTCTATTCTCTTGGTGAATCCTTATTAACAAAGTAACCACTGTTTTCTAAATAATATGGAGTCTTTAAAGAAGATGGTACTGTACTGAGCGACTAAAGATGAGAAGGAAGCATATGCCAATTTAAATAAAGAGTAAAGATTTAGAAATAAATTTAGGCTGACACACATTAGAATGACAAGATCTCTCCCATTTAGCATATTAGTAAGTAGAAGGAGAAATATGTATCAAATACTTAAAGTTAACATTTGGTAGCAGTCACAAAACTAATTCTTATTTTAGAGTAATTCATAAGAAAGTAAAAAGGGAAATTAAACTCAGAAAAATGTTCACCTTTGCGCATAAAGGGGGATTTGCTGTGATTCAACACTGTGTTTGATAGATGTGTATAATTCACCAGAGGATTATTCTTCATCATTTCAAATGAAGTGTGATAGATGATATCATCCAAGATTTTATCATTCAGGTTCTTCTCTAGAAATCTAGTAATCTTCTTGATTTCCTGCTTTGGATTCTATTAATGGTTAAAGAAACATATCACAGAAAATGGTAAACAAATCATTAATAATATAAAAAATATGATATTTATAATCTTTTTAAAATGCTGATTCTGAATATTAAATACATATTTGGTTGAGTCTATTAATAATTTTTAAAAGTTAATCATAAAAATGAAAAAAATCAATAATTTATGTTTAGCCAAAACAGAGTAGAAATATTTCGTTTGTTCAAACTTTATATTTTCAGTTTACCTTCAAAGTACAAGAACAAACCTTGAGCTAAATCTTAACAATACGTAGAGAAAAACAATCTTAACAGTTATTTTAAGCTCGATTTATAATCAAATTTGAACTGTGCCTGTTTTAAGGACCCAATACTTTCTATTCTTACTGTAACTTTTTTCTATTTTTAATAAAAATTTCTTTATAGTTTTGAATACTTAAAAACAAAATAATAAATTTATGGACAACTTCAAGCGTAAATACTTATTAGACCTTGCTTGGACAAAAATTATTAAAAATAAACTAATGAAGGTACAAAGATATCAAACCTAAATTATTCATTAGCTATTGAGAATAAAAAGAACAAAATCTGAGAAATGGATTATTTTCCAGGTTTTAATAACATAAACTTAATAGCTGTAATTTTTTAGGAGATATACTAAAATCTACATGAATATATCTAGAAAGAGTTTGAGGAGGTGATAACTAAGCTGAAAAAGATGAACCAGAATTTACCAAAACACATGGTCTTTTGAGGTGTTGAAGAGTGAATTTCCAATAGAGAAAACAGTTAAAACTCTTGGAGGTTATTAATGTCTTATAGAGTGTTCATGGAAAAACAAAAGCAAATGGTTGGAGTTAAGTTTGAGTCTTCCATATGAGTCTTCCATAGGAGCAATAGAGGCTATAAAACTGGAAAGATAAGCTGAGATAAAATTGAGAACATCCTTAGACAACCTGCTGAAGAATTTGAACTGTATTTGTAATTCCATAGGGAAGCAACAGAATTTAATAATGTGTCTTTTTAACTCTGTGTATGTGTGTGTACATGTGTGTATGTGTGTGCATATACCACATGTGTATGTTTTGGTAGAAAGTTCCCTAGCAGGGAAGTTATGGCAATATTTTATGAATCAGACCTGAATGAGAGAAGAATGAGATGACTAATTAAGAGATATCAGTGATTAGGATGAGTAAAAGTTCAGAAATGATGATAGTAGAGCAAAGGCCAAAAGAAAAGTTAGTAGCAGTACCAGGAAAACACATAAATGAAAAAGCAAATAGAGAACAATTTCTGCATGATGAAACTCTCATAGGGTTTCAAAGTGTCTTGAGAGAATCTGGCCACTGGTAAAGTATCAATTATGATGTTAGTCTATAAACCAGTAGAAGTACAGAGTGTTGACTCCTATGGAATCTTCCTCTGTTGTATTTCTTTCACCTAGTTGGTTGATAATTTATGCAGATACTCATAAACTTGATGTAAACTATTAGATTTCCCTTTGAATTTGATTCTTGATATGTAATTATAATTTTGTTCTATTGTTATATTAAACCTCTTATATAACATTGTCTAAAAATGACTGCATGACAGGGGAAAAACATTGTCTTTTAAGTATGATGTATGTAGCCAATTTGAGTGGGATTCAAAATATCTGGATGTGCTTATAAGTCTGGTTCAGCCAGACCATAAATCAATATGAATGAGTTGATTTGAATGAGGAACTCAGCTAAATAAGAGAAATAGCTGACATGAGAGTGTCATGTGGGGGACAGCATGATGAATGATTTAGAATTTGTGTGCCAGCCCTTCCAGGAAATGTATTCTTCCATTCTGTGGAGAAAAGGAAATATATTCAGAAGGTAAAATTGCTCTTTCATAAAGCTAATAATTATTACTCAGGTATCCAGGAAGTAAAGAGTACAGAACTTAACTCTCATTCATAAAAACAACACCCTAGAAATTCTGCCTACAAGAGACTCACTTCAGATTAAAAGACACACACAGACTAAAAGGAGGAAGGGGATAGAAAAAGATATTGCCTTGATGGATCTAGAGGGTATTTTGCTGAACGAAGTAAGTCAGATAGAGAAAGACAGATATCACATGATTTCGTGTACATGTGGAATCTAAAGAACAAAATAAACAAAAACTACAAAAACAGAAATAAACTCATAGATAACAGAATATTTTGAGGACTACTAGTTGGGCAGAGGTTGGAGGGGGATTGTGAAAAAGGGTAAAGGGATTAAGAAGTACAAATGGATAGTTACAAAATAGACATGGATATATAAAATGTAGCATAAGGAAAATAGTCAACAATATTGTAAATAATATGTAACAGAGAAGAGAGATACTTGATTTAGAGGAGTGACCATTTCATGAGATATATAGATCTCTAATCACTATGCTGTACAACTGAAACTAATATATGATTGTATGCTAACTATAATTTTTTAAAAAACTCATTGAATTGTACAATATAAATACAAGCAACTAATTTTCCATTATATTTCAATAAAGTCAGGGGGAAAAATTTTTTTAAATTTTAAAAAACATTTTATTTTTGTCACTGTGTATTATTTGCCTTAAACACTGGTAAGGTTTAGACCACAGAGTCTCTACGGGCTGTAAACAAGTATGATAGAGATTGGGGGTCTGTGATGCAGAAAAACTCAGAGAATTCTTTTTAATAAGATGTAAGAAATAATCTGGAGTTTCTCAGGAATATTTGGAGCAAGAAAGATTTTACTGGGGGCATGATTTCTGTTATGCAAAGTAGAATTGATGTCACTTAAATATTTGTTATTATTGCTCACTCATTTACTTATTCATTCATTCAAACGATCAATTATTCATACGATAGTTACCATTGAACTCTTATTTATGTGATAGGCGCTATATTAGGTATTGTAGATGTAGTCATAAGAATGATATATATCATGCCTTCCATCAAGAATCTGAAAGTCTAAAATGAGTCTTATTTGTATGCTCCAGCTTTTAGAACTAGAGGAACTTGGTTTCCACATATTTCCCAGATGAGTGTGTGTGTGCACATGCATGTATTGTGTGTGTGTGTGTGTGTGTATGTGTTTTCCTAATTTAAGTAAAATAGCCCCAGAATAAGCCTGGAACTTTGCAGTAGTATTTGAACTAATATTAGTTCATATGGGAAACTAAATGAACGCTTATGAGTCCCTGACTAAGAGGGAGGTAGTAAGAAAGTAAAGGGGAGGGCACATTTGAAAGATATCATGGGATGTTCAGGATATAGTGGAACCATATCCACTATATGGGAGCCAATGAGGACACTTTACTTTGAAGCTTTGAAAACTCAATGGATGAATATCATTAACAAAAAGATAGAAGAGAAGAAGAAAAGGAGTATATATTGGAGAGAGAGAAGTAAGATGAGTTTTATTTTGAATATGTTAAATTTGAGGGTCATTTTAATAAAAGCAGGGGATTGAATTTGGGGGAAAAATTAAAATGGAGTTTTGGGAAGTCATTAGCATATAAATAGTTTTGGCAATAGTGGACATGAACATGAGTACCAAAATATAGCAAACAGCTTAAAAAAATGGCTAAATGATAGCGATCTATAGGAAAACCATGAGAGTGTGATAACCTGTTAAATGTAAGAGAGAATTTCAAAAAGAAAATATGCTCAAAATAAACATAATGGTTTGAAAGGATAAGAGGAAGAAAGATGTTATTGATTTAACAATTAGAAAGTCATTAATGATCTTAGCAAGATTTGGGTAAGCAGGCATGGTGAAATAGAGTAAAGGCAAAACAATCATGTTATTTTGGACTTCGTAGATTGTTGAAAAAAATATATAATCCTTTTGTCCCAAGATGTAGTGGAATTATCCAGAATGATAATTTCTACTATTTTACCTCTTTCATATCTTCATAGTGCAAGAAAAGTATTGGGTGTTCTTCTTTTTTCTTCCACCAGCTCTTAACATGATTAAACCAGGAACCATAGGCCACTAAAACCAGAAAGACAGTCTATTTCCATAATCACTCATAAAATTAAAAATTTGTTTCTAAACAGTGTCAGATTATAAAACGTTTTGTGGAATTTAGTAATCAAGGAAACTGAGAATATAAGGTCAATTTAAAAATATATATAATCTGCAAAATATGAACTTTGCAGATTAAACAATAAAAGTAAAAAATATAAACTACAAAGGAAACATTTCAACTAAAAATACATTGACTTCCAATAGGTTACACTTAGCCTCACACAAAAGGAAACTATTCTTTTATGAAGTACTCATATCAACTATTTAAGTAACTACTACAAATAGTATAACAGATTTTATTAATAGTTTAGGTGAGGTAAAGAATTTCTACTGTGAGTAGAAAGCGAGACTGGATTTCTAGCAACTGAAAAAAGATTAGAGAATATTTTCATTAAACCAATCTTTATATACTGAATTCCATAGCAAAATATTAGACATATTTTATTTAATTTTTAAATGGTATTTGAATGTAGTTGTTACTGACTTAGAAAATAAGTATTTTGAAATGAAAAGTGATATCAGTAATAGTTAATGGTATTGTTAAACATAACAAATTACTTAGTAATTTTAAGCCAAGGCCTATCTACCATTTCCAGTAATGAATTTCTCCAGATATTCTTCCCAGGTGCCGGGAAAAGGTTGCAAATTATTCATTAAGTCAAAATGGTAATATGAGACTGCAACATCCTTGGCATTTCGAGCCAGATAAATCATCTGAAAGATAAGCAGAAAGAAAACCAAATAGATGGTATTTTATTAAAGAAAAAATAATAAATGTATAGTCAAGGAAAGTAAAATATTTGAAGTCCATGAAATGAAAAAACAGGAAAATATTAGAGAAAATTAATCAAACAAAAAGTTGGCTCTTTTTAAAAAAAAATCAGTAAAATTGATAAACAGCTAGCAAGACTGACAAAATAAGAGAGAGAAGACACAAATAAAAGTATGAAAAGATGCTCCACACCATATGTCATCGGGGAAATGCAAATTAAAACAACAATGAGACATCACTCCACAATTATTAGAATGATCAAAATTCAGAACAGCAAATCCTACTATGAATATAGAATGACAGGAACTCTCATTGCTGGTGGGAATGCAAAATGGTACTGCAACTTTGGAAGACACTTCGGCAGTTTCTTATAAAACAAACCATACTCATACCATATAATTTAGCAATTGTACTGCTTGGTATTTACACAAAGGAGTTGAAAAATCAGGTACACACAAAATAAGGTGCATATGGTTATTTGTAGCAGCTTTACTCATAATTTCTAAAACATGGAAGCAGCCAAGATGTCCTTCAGTAGATGAATGGGTAAATAAACTGTGGAACCTCCAGACAATGGAATATGATTCGGCAGAAAAAAGAAATATGCTATCAAGCCATGAAAAGACACGGAAGAATCTTAAGTGCGTATTACTAAGTGAAAGAATACAATTCGTAAAAGCTATGTACTATATGATTCCAACTCTGTGACATTCTGGAAAAGGCAAAACTATGGAGACAATAAAAGGATCAGCGGTTACCAAGTTTGGGGCAAAGGGAAGATAATAGGTGAAGCACAGAGATGTTCAGGGCAGTGAAACTATTCTGTATGGTACTATAATGGTGAATATATATGTCATACATTTGTTCAAATCCATGGAATGTACAACACCAAGAGTAAACCCTAATGTAAATCATGGACTTTGGGTGATAATGTGTCAATGTTGGTTAATCAATTGTAACAAATGTACCACTGTGGTCAGAGATGTTGATCATGGGGAGGAGTCTAAGCATGTGTGAGGGCAAGGGTTGTATGGGAAATCTCTGCCTTCCTTTCAGTTTTGTTGTGAACCTAAAATATCTGTAAAAAATAGTCTGTTAAAGGAGAGAATAAGAAAGGAATATTATGAACAACTTTTCATTACAAAATTCAACAACTTAAAATTCCTCACACATTGCAAACTTGCAAAAATCAGCTAAGATGAAATAGATAATAGATAATCTGAATAGCCCCACAACTATTGAAGAAACTGAATTTCAGATTCAAAAGTTCCTCCAAAACAAATATCTAGGCATAAGTTTTTCACTGGAGAATTTTACCAAACAATCAAATAAAAATAGACATCATTATATTGAGTTTTCAGAGAAGGCCAAAATATCTAGGGATAGCTAGGGATTAATAGTAACAATTATTATGCTGAGATGAGAATCTTGTTACTACATAACTTTGGAAAATGATTATGTAGATTTCGACTAAAATAATTTAAACATTTTTATTAAAATCCTTTCTTATAGAGATCAGTTCTCAAGGTAGCAGGTAAATGAAACATTTGAGCAATCATTTACTACTTTAGTGAGTAAAAGGATAGGGTTACAGTAAGAAATTGAATAGCAATTTAGAGTACCTTGCAGTTGTTCTGCCAGAAAGACTTTGGAAGGAGATCAATTGGTAGATGTGTCTTCAAAAGGCGAGGTGATGGATTCTTCTCTAGTTGTTCTATACCTGGAAAAATTTAGTCTGTTATATAGAGATATTAGAGTCTCTAAGGAGCCTGCATTTCCTGATTTTCTCGACCAAGCTTTCAAAATATTTTTGAGCAGTATATAATGCTGCGAAATTTTAAACCAATCGTAGACATTTTTTACCTGGATTCTAAGAGGCAATATTGGATAATGGTTAAGGGCATAAATTCTGAGATTAGCCTTGGATTCAAATCCTAACTCTATCACATTCTCATTGTGAGACATTTGAAAGTATCCTAGTCTCTATGTTTTGCTTTCTCCACTTCCAAAATGAGGAGTAATAATACCAACTTTAGCACTTCAGAGTTTTATAATACCTGTGCATATTATAAATAATTATGAAAATGTTTCCTGCATGTCAAAGAGATGTCAATAACTAGTAATTCTCATATCAGCTATTGCTTTTCATCAGCCATTATAGTATAGATGATATGATTTTTGTATAGCATTAGCTGTTGTATCTGCATTTTCATTATTTTCTTTACATGTCATATATATTACATATCTATGCAAATGAAAATGTTCTGTAAATTTTAGGTGTTAGCTGAACTCTCCATAGTCAGACAACTAGTATGTGGTAGAACTTGGTTTCATATTAAGTCTTTGGATAAAAGATATATGAACTTGCCTAAGACAGAAATCCATTTATTTCTACATTTAGAGCCAAGAAGAACCCAGGGTCATGGATCTCGCTTCATAGTGACTTGGCCAGTCTGAAGGCACTTTTGAGGTAAAGGCATACTCAGATGATTTCTGACATAGACTAGGAAGAGCTGGCTAACCCTTTTCATTTACTATTCCTTTAATGGACTCAGCGGCCTTTATCATATCCCAGATATATCTGTTAAAGATGCCAATTCCTTACAGAGTCACCAACCCCTATTATCTCAATTATTATTGTCTCCTCCTTCAGGTTTCACATCCAATAAATCTTAAAGTTCTATGCATACTTTTTTACAACATTACTTATATCCAGTCTAACCTCTAGATTACCTATTAATCCTACATTATCTTTCCACCTTTTGTATATGAAGGTATACCTGCCCAAAATTGTATGACTCACTCTTTAAAAGCAATCTTATGCTTCAATTGCTTACAAAAATTTATTACATATGTTTAAAAGCCACTCAGTGTCTATTAAAACACCTTGCTAAAATGTTATATATAGCACTTATTTTTGTTTATTGTCAGTTCCCATGCATCTCCCCTATGTTCACCCTTAAACACAGACACTAGAATAGAGATTCCATGAGAGCAGGGATGTAGCTTATTTTGTTCACTAACAAATGTTCTGTAGAGAGTAGTGCATAACACATCATTGTATTAAGAAGAACCCCTTAATATTAATGAAGATAGGGTTGGCAGACTTAGGAGATAGAGATGTAAAAATCTCAGTTAAATTTGAATTTCAGATTAACAGAAGATACCTTTTAGTATAAATATTTCCCATGCTATTTGGGAGAAACTTATACTGTATAAAATAGCTATTTGTATTTCAAATTTAATTGAGTAACCTGAATTTTATATGGAAATATTAATTATACATCTATAAAATTTCACCAGGTATCTCATAATGCTTCTACTGACCTGGTAGTTGCAGCCACTTTACTCAGCATGTAGAGAGAAATCATAATCTTGCACTCACTATTCCTCAATGCCATGCCACAAACTTTTATTTCTGTTTCTTTTATGAAGTTTTCCCCATATTGTTGTTCCTCATCCTTCCCTCAACTTCATTGAAAGATTTCTCGGCCTCTTCTGTCTTGTAATTGTTTTGCAATTACATATGAGGTTCTTTAAATTAACCTTTTACATGCCCAAATATGAATGTATTCACATTCAGGCTCCAGAGTAAATCTGAGTGTCAGTTTATCCTCCTTCACTTGATAAACTTCACATACTCTGTCTCCCACCAATACTACCTAACTCCCTGACTCCCAATTACTTTGATTCTATCACTTTTTAAATTTTATTTTATACTTTTCTATGGCTCTGTAGTCTTTACTCACTCTTGCACTCATTTTGGTTGCTTGCCCCAGAATAATCTTTTAGTTCCAAGTTTTAGCATTTGTCCTCCGACTTTTGGCAACCATGCAGAAGGAATGACATCCTCCCAGTTGGTTCTTCTCTGCCTATAAGTAATTAGCTCCAGCAGGGGAGAGGATTTGGATTCTGCTTTTAAACTGGTATACAATTTCACCACCATACTTCTTCTTATCCCAGGTTTCCAGCAGCACTGGAAAACCAGGCCTCACTTTTATCATCATCATCATCATCATCATTATTTTATTTATTTTAATTTTTTGCTTGGGTCTACTTAAATGTAGATTTTTCTTTTTTTAATTTAATTTTATTATTAGTTTCAAGTATACAGTACATTGGTTAGACATTTATATAGTTTATGGAACAATCCGCCTCATTTCTCTTTCCTCTGGCTCTACACATATCCATTACAATACTGCTGATTACATTCTCTATGCCATGCTTCCCATCTCCATGACCAGCTATCAGCTACTAATTTGTACTTCTTTAATTTTTCACCCTTATTTATTATGCTGACACTAGTTAACGAAATCCAATGTTTCAAGTGTACAATTCAACAGTATGTCATATACATATTGCATTGTGTGTTCACTGACCAGAGTTAGATTTTCTGTCATCACATATTTACCCCTTTTATCCCTATCTACCTCACCCCTCTACCCTCTTCCCTTATCCTCTAGTAACCACTAGTCTACTGTCCATGTCCATAAGTCTCTGTTTGTTTGTCATATTTGCTTGTTGCTTTTAGGTTTATATCTCACATATAAGTGATATCATGTGGTTTTTGATTTTTTCTGTCTGGCTTATTTCATTTAGCATGATTATCTTGAGGTCCATCTATGTTGTCACAAATAGCAACATTTCATCTCTTCTTATAGCTAAGTAATATTCCATTGTATATATGTACCATAGCTTCTTTATACAATAATCTATTGAAGTGTTGTTTGGGACAACACTCTTCTCTTGACCTCTTTGCATTAAATACTTTGACAGTTTAAAAGAGAACAGACATTTCCAGTCAATAGAGGTTCTGCTGCACTTAAAACCTTAGTTCTTTTTAACGTACTGCTCGGAAGTAACTCTGTCCCTGTCTAGTTGTCAATTGTTTTGTATCTCACTTTTCTCTTCTTTTATTGTTATTCCTGTTGTTGGCTATTGTAGTAGCTGTTTTTTAGTCCCTGGACTATACCAATGTCTTTTCTGAATCTAGACCTTTATAATAAATACTTCGCCTTCTTGAAATATGCTTTCTCCCACTATGTGCATGGCCATAGGTCTCAGTTCAGAGAAGATATCCTTAATTGTCCAATCTAAAGTAAACTCTCTTATTGTTCTCTTTCATAGAGCCCTGTTCTTGGATACATAAGACTAATAATAATATATATTGTTAGTTTATTTACTTAGTTAATGTTGCAACATTATTTTAAGCAACTTGGAGAAAAGACATCTGATTTGCTAATCATTTTATATCTAGCCTATTATACTTTAAATTTTTTTTTTTTAATTTTCAGTTACAGTTGACATTCAATATTGTTTTATATTAGTTTCAGATGTCCAGCATAGTGGTTAGACATTTATATAATTTACAAAGTGATCCTCCCCAATTACTCTAGTACCCACCTGGCACTATATATAGTAATTACAATATTATTTACTGTATTCCTTATGTTCAGTTGTGTATTCTCTTGACTATTTTATAACTACTGATTTGTAGTACATCATTTTTAGAACACTAAATAATTATTTGTGGAATAAAATATGAATTGTATTAATAATAAATTTTATGTTTTAAGAGGAGTTGGTACTTATTTACTTATGTATTTATCTGTAACAATGTCTTAAATTAAGAGCTTATTGCTCCAATCTGCCAAATTTTACACCAAAAAAGTCAATAAAAGATAAGAACCATTTTTTATGTTTTCAGTCAAATTTTTATGTTATCAGCCAATTTTGTTGTTTTCTACAAAATTCTTCCATTTTTGATTATACCTGGAAATGTAATGGACTAAAATTACAGTTTCTCTATATGCCTTAGTTATTGTACTTTCAAACTTCCATTATATGTTACCAAATCTATTCTATTTTCTTTAAATGGAAATCAAAAGTATAATAATTAATATGCTGTGTGAATAATATTATAAAATTATAATTCCCAGATGGTTTAAAATTACCTGAAGTTCTTAGTCCAGGGACAGCCATTTCCAACATTGGAACTTTAACAGTTATAAAATCTCTCTTACATTTTTCAACATCTCCATCATTTAGAACCATGTCCGCAATTTCACTTAGCCAAGTGGTACCTGTGGCAAAAGGCAACATTTTTTATAACTGTCACCTGGATCTGAGGGAAGAAGTACTCGTCGGAAGCCTGCCATCTTAATACATTCTGTTGGAAATTTAATTCTGCAGTTTCCCTGTCTATGCTCCAAATGCTCATTCTAATGTACTTGAAATAGATGGCTAGACTGGCTAATAGAAATACTAATTTTATTTAAGATGATAATGATTTTATAAAGGAGTTGATTTTAAGGAAACAAAGGTAGAAGTCAGAGCTGCATTTTCAGGCCACAAAACTCACCTGATTTGGGGTAAGTGGCTATCACAATGTCATCTGGTCTGCTGTGGAACTGTTCACACTTTTCCAAGTTGTTCGCAAAAGCATAGGTAATGGGATAACTGTGGACCATCTTCAAATTTTTTCTCAGCACGTCTTGTGGTGAAATCATTTTTGTATCAGATTGTGCAAGTAGTTAATAGAATATTTACTGACAATCAAATCATGGAGAAATAAAGAGAATAAAAATCAGAAGCTGAGTAGCTAATTTTATCCTTAAAATATTGTAACTTGACACAAAGTAAAATTAGCCTTTAACTGAGCACACAGAGATCTAAATACAAAGGGCGTTTTTGTGGTTGTAAAGCTGTAGATTGCAAGAGCAGCAACTGGCTCAGTGACAAGCAGAACAAAGGTCATTAGTGCAAGCTTTGGAAAGGAATGGAACTGCATATCCTACTTTGAATTAAAAATCACATGTCACAGAAATATGCTAAAAAGTATCTGGACTTAAAACAAAATAAATCCATCCTTCATTACATTTCAGTTTACCTCATTTTTCCTTTTAGGAAATCTATTATCTTTCTTCCATTGTTTTTCTGTACATCATGCACCTATTTTCTCTTTCTGCTTGTGAGATTTTTTTTTATCACTGATTTTGAGCAATTGAATTATGATGTGCCTTGGTGTGGTTATTTTCATGGGTGTGTGTATGTATGTGTGAGCTTCAGGTTTACCAAGCTTCTTAGATATGTGGGTTTATAGTCATTGTTCCTTCAAATGTATTTTCTGTCTCTCCTTCTTCCTTCTGAGATTCCAGGTCCCATGTAGTTGTCCATAGATCACTGATGCACTATTCATTTCTAAAAATCTTTTTTCTCTCTTTGTATTTCTTTATGGATAACATCTAATACTATGCTTTCTTATTCACTAATCTTTTCTTCTACAGTGTGTAATCTGATGTTAATCTCATTCAATAGCATTTTTTTTTTCCTCAGACGTTGTAGTTTTCATCTTTAGAAGATCATGATTATATTTTTTCTGTCTCAACTTTTTAAACATATTTAATACAGTTATAATGACTATATGCAGAGTCTGCTTAAAGACACAAAACAAATGAGTGGCAACTCAGAAACAGATTTAGTTCTCTCAGCTCTACTCACTTGGTCACAATGCAAGTGTACCATGAGTGGGCTTGACCCAGAGTCAAAAAGTGTCTCTAATTTATCTTAGTCACAGTTTATAATGAACTTTTTCTTTGAAAAAAAAAAACAAAAAACAAAACGAACTTCCTTCTGACAAAAAGCTCTCACACTGCAAAAATATCAGAAAAGAATGGCTATGAGTAACAATATGAAAATAAGGCAGCTGATTCTGAATACATACTAGTCACATCTGGGAAGTGGGTGTAACCAATTCAGCAACCTCGGAGGATTAGTCCTGAATTAGCATTGCTTCATTGTGACCAGTGGATGATGACAAGTTCAGAATTATAGGGGGAAATGGGTGTAAGGGGGAGAGCTGGAAGACATAACTAATGTCATTGAACTAGATATCTTGGAAGATGCTTTATAAATAATATTTACTTTCCAATATAGAATTAGTTCATAAAAATCTTTTAAATCCTACAAGGAAATAATAATTTATGTGGTTATATATTATAGCCTACCTGACACAGCAAGTCTTGCTATTTAAGTTAAGCCATAGACTGAAAGTTAAAATGTTGAAAACTTGATTTTAAATAAGATTAAATAAGATTTAAATAAGATTAATGGAAAAAGAGAGAAAAGTGAAATACAATGGCCCTCTTAGGGAAAACCAAGTCATCTGACATTAAAATTGAATGATTCTTCTAATGAGAAAAAATAATTCTTTCTTTTATTTCACCTTATACAATGTCCAGCTTTATTTGGTACATATCAAATCCCAGATACTTAAATAAATATAATAAACAATATAGTCTATATTCTCGAAAATGCCTTAAAGTAGTGTGCATGTGTGTGTGTGTGTGTGTGTATAGGGGTGCAGAGAAGATGGGAGCAGAGAAGCGTGGACTTGAAGTGGATTCCTTTCTTCCTTTTAAGGCTTAGTGTTTCACGAGAAGACAATCCTGGCATGCTTTAGAAAAATAAAAGTGGTCATTGAGAACTCTGAGAGATTCTGCATAGCATAAACAATATCTGAGTTTCCTGTGGGAAAATTGGAATTAGGCAAAAACATACAAATTATAAATATATTCAAAACAGAAATCATTCAAAGGGCATAATCCTTTGTAATGCAAGACAAAAACTTCAAGGAAAGAGATTTAAAAAGTAAATTTTATCTGACAATTTAATTCCCTTTTTAAATTTTTAGTCAGTGGTGCTGTCGCTTGCTGAAAGAAACCTGGGAGCTGGTGGTAGTGCTGGAAGAGCAGGGCTAGGGAGCCCAGGGAGGGGAAAAAAGTAAGTTCAAGGATATGATCTGAATGTAGTTAGTGACTTCACAGGCAGTTAAGATATCAAAAGTTTGAGCTTCACACACATATATACACATAAAGGCAAGCCCTGCTCAGAGCCAGGAAGCACTGAGAAGGAAATGGATCAGGGTAATAGCCACAAGGGAACAAAGTTAGTGATTGCCTAGATTTGAAAGTTCCCATGGGGCTTTCAAAAGATCTGAGAGAAATGTATAGAGAAAGAACATGAAAGGTCAGTGGATGGAAAACTGTTGCTTCTTTACAGTATAGAAGAATGTCTTCTATTAATTTTGATCATGATGAAAAGTCATGGTGTGTGTGTGTGTTTTCATCCGAAAGAACATGAGTTCTCAATATCATGGAAAGAGCAAACATATACTGATGATGAAATAAAAATTTTGGCAGCAGAAACAGAGAGGGTTGAACTAATGGTTTCGGAATGTACTTGTTTTCTATCACTCTAATCATTTCTACAACCTCTCGACTTTTTTTTTTTTTTTATGCTGAGTCACAGATACACAGAGAAGGAGTAAATAAAAAGTTTGTGTGTGGAAGAGAAGAAATATGCTTCTGTTCCTTTCACACACACACCTCAACCACCCTATAAGATTCTCTTATGATCTAGTTTCTGGTATTGAACCTTTTGTTAATGTCATTTGTCATAAACTCAGATACAGCTGCAATCATCAAGTCTTTGTTGTAGTGGTTATATCTGCGTAGGCCTGGGGAAGTCAGAAAACTCAGAAAGAAATGAGCACATTCTTAATTACATATTTTTAAGGAAATTTTAAAGACATATTTGTGTTTCTAAAAGACCTTGCAATTGCCAACAGATTTTTAATTTTTTTCTTTTTTTCTTTTTTGGCCAACTAGCATTTAATTTTTAATTTGTATGGAGGGTAGAAGTGTGTGAGAGAGAACACAAAGGAAAAATATTTACGTATACATGGTATAGTGGTATTTCATTTCAATTATGGGGATCCACAGTCCTCAGGATGTCTGGTACAATAATCTGGAGAGCATAAAAATCCATAATGTAAAAATCAGTCTGGCTCTCTTTGAGAATCTGGAACATTTGATTTTTCTGAGATATTCTCTAAGCTAGTTTGTTCATTTTTTGTATGATTTTGTGACTCTGTAGACTAAGGTAGTCTTTTTTCTTCCTTTTGATGACACTTAAAGGCATTGGTGCCCACAAATCACTTCACCTTCCTGCTACCCATACAATCAGATAAGATGTTCCAAAGACACAAGGTCAGTATAGTTCTATCACCTGTAGCAGTGGACCGCCAAAAACAAAAGTTCAGGAAATTATATTTTCAATTGGGTATACAAATCTATGATTGAAAATTATTTTTTTCAGTGTTAGTTAAAAACAAATTGAAATAGGCAAGGTATTAATGGACATCTAGACAACCTGATATCAGGCAGAGTTTGGAGACCTGTGGATTCTCTTAAACTTATCAGTATAACAGACAATGGTACTTTCCAGCCACTATTAGTGAAGCTATCCAAAACCACAGCAGGCACACCGAAAGTAGCAGGAAGGGCCTAGTGGGCAAGAGTACGGGCTCTAGAACCTTACTTTTTCGGCTTTATATCCAAACTCAATAATTTATCAGTTTTGTTCATTGGAATTGCAAATTTAACCTCTCTGTGAATGCACAAGAAAAAGCAAATTCTAACAAAAATATTTAAAAGTCACTTATCTTAGTTGAAGCCAACTTTAAAATTATCTTGTAATATGAGTTTATGCAGCTTAAGATCATAAGGAAAAAATGACAAGGCCCAATGTTGTAAATATGAGTCATGCTGTTTGGGCAACAAAGAGGAAGGTGTGTCCATTAACTCAATTTGTTGTGTCAGATATATGAAGGGTAAAGAAGCCCTGATAAGGAAATTTTCCATACAATAATTAGTTTCTTGTTATTCTTATTTGTTTATTTGTTTTCACAAAAGTGTACACACTGATAAATGTGTATGAGCTTATGTACTAATGTAATGATATTTTGTGCAGAAACCAAATACCATGAATAACAATTTATATCAAAGCGGCACACAAAATGTACCAGTATCCATTGTATAGCCTGCTTCTAAATATTGGTCTTATTATGTTTAACAGATTTGTTTAAAAAGAAATACCACTTTCTCTTCCTGACCCTGGCACTTCTGGAGCCATGGGCTTTGACCAGAGCAGCAAAGGTAGGCCTGGCCTACAAGCCCAGTTTAGTCTTCCACATGCAGACATGGCCATGTCCAAGAACCACACCACGCACAACCAGTCCCAAACACGGCACAGAAATGGCATCAAGAATCCTCAATCACAAACATATGAATCTCTTAAGGGGGTGAGTATGTGTGCTGAATCACATACAGTTATGTCTGTTTGGCTCCAGCTGCACCATTAGGCCTTTCATGCAGTCTTTCCAAGCTTCGCCATCTGCCTATGTACCATCCTTAACTGTCCTTTGTCAGTGTGGAATGGAAGGCTTATAGGTTCCTGACCTACCAAAGCCTGCAATTTTTTCTCTACCCAGCCAGCTTTTGCCTGGACTTCAGGCTTTGCCGGACCCATAATAAAGCTTTATTTGGCCTTTTCCAGCCTGGAATGCAAACCCCTGGTCAGGTGTAACCTGCCTCCTGAGGGCAGTTTGTCTGACTATCTCCCTTGCCCAACCATAGCACGTGAATGGAAGGAACGGCCTTGTCTGTGTATATCGGGGAACCTATA